CGGGAGTGTGGCCTCCAGGGTCTTGTCGCCTGCCTGCCTGAGGGGGCGGCTTCCCCCCAGCTCTGCCAGGGCCTCTACAAGCTGTGCCTGGGGGCAGGTATGACTTGGTTGTTCCCAGGGCGACACCTACCAGGGAAGCAGGGTAGGCGGGAAGGGCAGTCCTCCTGGCAGGCTGCTCAGGCCCCTGCGGCTGCCCCTCCAGACTGCCTGAGCCTCGCGGACCTGTTGGCCGTGGTGCAGCTGTCCCTCCAGGCCGACCTCAGTGTCCGGCTGGACATCTGCCGCCAGGTGAGAGAGAGAAAGAAAAGCCTGGGGGCCTGGGGCGGTCTGTGCTCTGGACGAGGGGTCTCTGGAGGCCTCCCCTGCAAAGGATGGGCCTGGGGCAGACTCCTTCACACCCTGTGCCCGCCTGCAGCTCTTCCACCTCATCTACGGACAGCCGGAGGTGGTGCGGCTGCTGGCCCCCCCCGGCCGCGGGGCATGAGCCTTCAGATGTCTTCCTGCCCTCGGAGGCCCCCCGCCCCGACCCCGATGCTTTCTACCAGGCTCTCTCCCCGTTCTGCATGCCCTTCGACCTGGGCCTGGAACGGGCCAGTGTGGGCTCGGGCACGGCTACCGCTCGTGGCGGGGGGACGGGGGGCCGCTGGTGGCGGCGGCAGTGGGACTCTTCCCCCCACCAGCCAGCCTGGCACACCTTCCCCGCTGGACGGGCCACGGCCCTTCCCTGCTGTCCCTGGCCGCCACAGCTCCAGTCTCTCGAATGTGCTGGAGGACAGCAGCCTCCCGGAGGCCACCGTCAGTGGGGACGACACCTCTAACACCAGCAACCCTCAGGTAGGTGGGCACACCCTCCGCCACACTCTGGCACCCCAGGAGGACGCCTCTTAGGTGCAGGGCTGGACACGGGAGCTTGTCCAAAGTGGTGGCCCTGACACCAGGCTGTAGCCACACTCGGGCCAGGGCCCCTTGGAGCTCTTGTCTGCTCCATGTGTCCCCAGGGCATCCTGGCACAAAGCCAGTCGCTCGGAGCCAGAGCAGGCTAGCTAGCCAGGCCAGGGAGAGCCTCACGAGAGGCTGGCGGCAGAGGCCATGAGGGACTCAGTGCATCACACCAAGATCCTGCCGTGCTTCTGGGCCTGGGGCTGGGCCTTGCTTCTCTGCGGATTCTCCCAGAGAATTCCATGACAGTTCCTGAGTCCTGTGGGGAGTGCGTAAGCTGCCTCGTCTCCTCCAGAGAGTCCAGGGAGACACCGCAATCCCCCTTGCATTCAGGCAGTGGCCAAGGTCTCAGATCTCTCTCCCAGGTCCTCGGCACTGGGCTAGCCCGTAGCTGAATGCTCAGCCTCCTGCCACCCCTGTGAGGGGCCAGGGTGCTGAGCTGGTAGTGCGGGGGGCAGCCTGATTCCCCTCTCCGCGGTGCCCACAGCAAACCTCTGAGGAGGAGTTGTGCAACCTGCTCACCAACGTGCTGTTCTCGGTGACGTGGCGGGGCGTGGAAGGCAGCGACGAGGCTGCCTGGCGGGAGCGTGGCCAGGTCTTCTCGGTGCTCACCCAGCTAGGGGCCTCAGCGACCCTCGTGCGCCCCCCAGACTGCATCAAGCGCAGGTGAGAGGGCAGCTCACGAGGGCGAGGGGGCAAGGAGGGCAGCCGGGCAGACACTGAGACCCTCACCCACCCCAGCCTCCTGGAGATGATGCTGGAATCAGCCCTGACGGACATCAAGGGGGCCCCCGTCGGGGCCCTGGCCAGCCTGACCCAGCAGGCTCTCTGGCTGCTGCGCCTGCTGCAGGACTTCCTGTGTGCCGAGGGCCATGGCAACCAGGAGCTGTGGAGCGAGAAGGTGCGGGCTCGGAGGGCGTGCACAGCTGGGCACGGGCGTGTTCGGGAGCGGGCTGGCTGGGAGGTGGATGAAGGATGTGTGTCTATGAGCGTGGGCTTGTTTGTACAGACCCTCCCTGCCTCCCCCCCCCCCCCATTTTCCCTTGCCCCCCTCCCCCTGACTCCCCCCCC